TCCCTACACTCCCTTTCACAGACAAATGTGTCACCAGCGAGCTCCTCAAGGGGATCCCTCTGGCCACCGGGGATAGCAGCCCAGAGCCTGAACTGTTGCCGGGAGGTGAGTGACAGACTCCTCTCCATCCCTGGGCTGCCTCTTCTCCCCAGCCGCCTTCCTGCCTGGTCCCCATTCCCCAGGGCTCAGCTCCTCTTGTGTCTTCCCCTCTCGCAGCTCCACTGCCGTCTCCCAAGGAGGTCATCAATGGAAACATCAAGACACTGACCGAGTACAAGATAGATGAGGATGGCAAGAAGTTCAAGGTGAGGCTGGGGAAGAGGTGGGTGCCCTTTGCCTGGGGGCACTTGGACAAGGAGAGAATGATGTGTGTTGGGTGCATTGATGAGGAAGATCCCCTGGCCCCAGGAACCTTGAGGAGCTGGAAGCCCACACGTCTCCCCTTCTGTCTACAGATTGTTCGCACCTTCAGAATTGAGACCCGGAAGGCCTCAAAGGCTGTGGCAAGGAGGAAGGTAAGGACTTCCCTGGTGGTCCAGTGGTTAGGGCTCTGCACGTCCACTGCAGGACGCACGGCTTCGATCCCCGGTCGGGGAACTGAGAGCCCACATGCCGCGTAGTGCGGCCAAAAATAGAAAAGAATTTAAAAAAAAGAAGAAGGGGGAGGAAGGTAAGACCTTTCTCCCCCTGTCTTGGGGGCGTCTCCAGGGCTGACTCAGAGAAAAATGGGAATCCTTTTCCCCGGTACCTTTATTTTTAGAAGTGGGGTTTAACTGTTTGTACTTGTTTTACTGGAGCAGAACTGAGGCCTGTTTGCAGTCTGTGGGGGCCCTGAAAATTCCAGCAGGTGCAGCAGTGGGTGGGCTTGATTCTTACTCCTCTTGGGTTGTCCACCAGGAGGAACAGAGCCAAGCCTTCCCCTCAGGTGGCTGTCACAGCAGAAGAAGTGATAGCAATAAGTACATTTGGCACAATTCCCTGCGTACTTTCTCTGTGTTAGACCCAGGTGCTTTGCAGGAAGTATTTTCTCATTCAGTCCCCGTAGCGTTCCGGGGAGGTGTGGGGAGCATTGTGGTCCCTTTTTTTATAGGGGAGGAAGTTGAGGTTCAGGTTGTTTAATTAGCTCAAGGCCCCTGGAAGTCTGGGTGACCCTGCACACCCCTGAGCATCACTCCATGGTGGGAGCTGGTCTGCTACCTGCACGGCCCCCACCAGGAGCTGTTGGCTGTGGAGCTGTTTCCCCCCGAGCCTCAGTTCTCTCATCTGGAACATGGGGCTGAGAGCTGCCCTTGCCTCCTGGAGCTGGTGTGAAGCTAGGGCCTGGCAGGCACTCAGGGAACAGGAACTGTCATCACCACTGCTTTGAGGAGCATTTGGGGAGGGTGGTGAGTGGGGTTCAAGGCCCAGACACCTGGAGATGGCGCTTGTAAGTCTAGGGTGCCAGTGGAGGGGGTCGCATTTGTCCTTGCCCTAACCTGTCCCCTATCCCGCCCTGAGTTCAGAACTGGAAGAAGTTTGGGAACTCAGAGTTTGACCCACCAGGGCCCAATGTGGCCACTACCACAGTCAGCGATGATGTATCCATGACATTCATCACCAGCAAAGAGGTAAGTGGGCCAGGAGGCTGGTGGCCAGGGTGGTGGTGGTGTCGGGGTTGTGCCAGCCCAGTCTGAGCTGCTCCGACTTGCCCCACCAGGATCTGAACTGCCAGGAAGAGGAGGACCCGATGAACAAGCTCAAGGGCCAGAAGATCGTGTCCTGCCGAATCTGCAAGGGCGACCACTGGACCACCCGCTGCCCCTACAAGGACACGCTGGGGCCCATGCAGAAGGAGCTGGCCGAGCAGCTGGGCCTGTCCACTGGCGAGAAGGAGAAGCTGCCCGGAGGTGCCAGGGCCTGGGGATGCGGCTGGCAGGCTGTGGGGTGGAGGACGGGGATTGTGTGCGCCTCTGGGAGAGTCGTGGGTCGTCACCTGGCGTCTGAATGGGACTGCCACTGCTGGGGCTGTCGTCTCCCACACAACAGCGTCCGCACTGCAAGGCTGTGACCACAGGCCACGTTTGTTTGTGTGAGAGAGACTGGCAGGTGGGTGCTCTGACTGCTGGTGACGTCACCTGACTCTCCTCACTGGGGGCCGTGAGAGCCGCTCGTGGGCATGGCCGTGTGTGTGACTACATACACCGTGAGTGGTGGGGAGACGGTTGTTCCCCGGATGTGTCTGTGAGTTTCCTGACTTGAGTGCGCTGTGTTTGCACACCCACAGCAAGGAGCAGACTCACCCAGGTGAGCAGCCACTTGTCACCTGCCCGGGGGCAGGTACCTGGGGGCTGTCCCTAACCCTGTGTACCTGTCTTCCCATGTGTTGTGAGGCTGGACATTGCTGTCAACCCCTGTGGGTTCTCTCGCTCTTCCTGTGTTACTGGCAGGGTGTTGAGGTGGTGTCAGCTTCCTGCATGTGACCTTTAAGTCGTTGTGACCACGAGGCCTTGAAGGAATCAACCGATCACCTGTGGTTTGACAGATGGTGCTTGGGCGGGGCCGTGGCTGGAGCCGCCAGCATCCTGGGGCAGGTCTGTGCCGGGGAGGCCTGACTGGGCCTTGCTTTTGGTCTCCAGAGCTGGAGCCTGTGCAGGCCACTCAGAACAAGACGGGGAAGTATGTGCCTCCGAGCCTGCGGGATGGAGCCAGCCGCCGCGGGGAATCCATGCAGCCCAACCGCAGAGGTGAGGTGGCGAGCACCCTGGCACTGGGCGGGCACCTCCCTGCACCCTGTGATTATCCCGCGGGCGGGGCCGGCTCCTTACAGATGCCTCTCCTTGCCCGCCCAGCCGACGACAATGCCACCATCCGCGTCACCAACCTGTCCGAGGACACTCGTGAGACCGACCTGCAGGAGCTCTTCCGGCCCTTCGGCTCCATCTCCCGCATCTACCTGGCAAAGGACAAGACCACCGGCCAGTCCAAGGTGGGCTGGCGGCCAGGGGGCGAGGAGGGGTCCTCCGTCCGTCCCAGTTGTGCCTTGAGCATCCCTGACCCCACCCCCTCCCCCAGGGCTTTGCCTTCATCAGCTTCCACCGCCGTGAGGACGCCGCTCGCGCCATTGCCGGGGTGTCCGGCTTCGGCTACGACCACCTCATCCTCAACGTCGAGTGGGCCAAGTGAGACCCCTGCCTTCCCCCACCCCCCACGGTGTCGCGGCCCACAGACGCTCGGGCTGACCGCAGGCCCCAGGCCAGGTTAACAGCCACAGAGGCTGTCCTGGGGCGCAGGTCATTTACTGTCCTCCTCCTCTCGCGGAGGGGCGCACAGCCCATGCGCGGCGGGGCCTTCCCGCCGTCCTGGCTCGTCGCGTGCTCTGCGCCGCCACCCAGTCTCGTCCTGCCCTGGCCCCCTCATCACCGTTGAGTTCCCTGTGGTGTGGGTGTAGGGTGTGCTCTTGGGATTCCCTTAGGGGTCGGAAGCCCCCATACTTCCCACCCTCAGCCACCTCGTGTTTCCCTCTCTAGGCCATCAACCAACTAAGCCGGCTGCTGCTGCTCAGCCCCCAGCCCCGGGATCCTTCAGCGACAGAGGGCAGCCTCCGGAAGCAGGGGGCTCCGAGGGCAATAAAAGATCTCCATCACCCTGTGCTGTTCCATTTATTCGCAGATGTCACTCACACTGTGGTGGGCGGGGCCGGGCCCCCTCCCCCCTTGCCCCCCTGTTGTGGGTTTGCTCCCTGGCCCTGCCTGGGGTTACTGCTGCAGG